CAGGAACCGAGAAGCCACCGGTGGGTGACACCAAAGGGGACACCAAGGGGAGGGGGTGGCGGTGGGGGGGGTTGGGGACACGGGTTGTCCTCTCCTCCCCTCCCCCACCTCCTTCAAGGATGGGTGGGGGGTCACCTTCTTGCAGGTCCTGGGGGACCTCAACCTGGCCGGAGAACCTTGGGGACATCCCGTGGTGGCGAAATGGAGGTGGCCCTTGATGTTGGTGGCCCTCGAGGACCTGAGATGGTCACCACCGATCCCCAAGAACCAGGTGGCCCTCCAGGACCTGAGATGGTCACCAAGTGTCTCCAAGAAGAAGGTGGCCCTCGAGGACCTGAGATGGTCACCACCGGTCTCCAAGAAGAAGGTGGACCTCCAGGACCTGAGATGGTCACCACAGGTCTCCAAGAACCAGGTGGACCTCCAGGACCTGAGATGGTCACCACTGGAACATTGGAGAAGGATGGCCCTGGGGGACCGGAGATGATTGTCCCCAAACCCGGTGACCTTGGTGGCCCTCAAGGACAGGAGATGTTTGTCCCCAAACCCCATGAACCGGACGCTCCTGAGGGACCAGAGACGATTGTCCCCAAACCCCAAGAACTTGGTGGCCCTCAAGGACAGGAGATGACTGTCCTCAACCCCTGTGACCCTGGTGGCCCTCAAGGACAGGAGATGACCGTCCCCAACCCCCAAGAGGCAGATGTCCCTCAAGGACTGGGGACAATCAGCCGTGACGCTTGGGAGCAGGTGGGACCTGGTCAACCAACCCCGATTGTCCCCAAACCTCAAGAGGTTGACGTTCTCCAAGGATCGGAGACCATCGTCCCCGGACACCGGGACCTGGGTGGCCCCAAGGGACAGGGGACAATTGTCACCGGAGCTCGGGAGCAGGATGGAGCCCAGGAGATGATTGTCCCCAAACCCCAAGAGCTGGACGTCACCCGAGGAGAGGAGAAGATTGGCACCGGAGCTTGGGAGCAGGAGACACCCCCGGGACCAGAGGTGATTGTCCCCAAGCCCCAAACCTTTGGTGTCCCCAAGGACCATCGATGACTGTCCCCAAACCCCGAGACTTTGGTGTCCCCCAAGGACCAGAGATCCCCCAAGCCCTTGGTGGCCCTCAAAGACCATCAATGACCGTCCCCATCCCAATGACTTTGGTGTCCCTCAAACCCCAAGACCTTGGTGTCCCTCAAAGACCACAAAGACCATCAATGAAGGTCCCCAACCCAACAATCTCGATGTCCCTCAACCCCACAACCTCGATGTCCCTCAAAGACCATCGATGACCAACCCCAAGACTTTGAGGTCCTTCAAAGACCCCTCGATGACCAACCCCAAGACTTTGGGGTCCCTCAAAGACCCATCAATGATGGTCCACAACCCCATGTTGTTGATGTCCCTTAAAGACCATCGATGACCAACCGCACAGCCTTGGTGGCCCTCAAAGACCCATTGATGACAGTCCCCAGCCCCATGATGTTGATGTCCCTCAAAGACCCATCGATGACCAACCCCACAACCTTGATGTCCCTCACAGACCATCAATGACCAACCCCAAGACTTTGAGGTCCCTCAAAGACCATCGATGACCAACCCCAAGACTTTGGGGTCCCTCACAGACCATCGATGACCAACCCCAAGACTTTGAGGTCCCTCAAAGACCATCGATGACCAACCCCAAGACTTTGAGGTCCCTCAAAGACC